TTTGTCTAAAAAGCTTAAGTCAATCAAAGATACAGTAATTTTTTTTATGAAAGTGAAATTGAATGTTTAGCGCAAATAATGCTTTTTGAATTCTTTTCCTAGGTATATGAGAAGTTGGTAAAAAAAATTTTTGATTAAAAATATAAATTTTTTTTTAAACAAGAATCGAAATTTTACAAACTGACCACTTTATTTTATTGCCCAATAAGTTCTGCTTCAAATTGCTGTCAAAAATCATAAAATTCGAATTAATGTGCATAAAAAATTGTTTCCAAATAACTCGGCAAAAAAATAAAATTAGCGCAAAATCTTTGGTGTCAACATTGCACACATTGAAAGTTAACATCAAAATCGGTCATGAAATATAAAAAATCGGAAAGTCAAATTTGGCCAAATTCTCTCAAAACTGCCTTACGCATACCTATATGTGTTCTCCTCTACTGAACGTGATGATTAACAGCAACCTCAGTTTACCCTAACCCTAGCTAAGAATGCTATGATAATATCTGTGGTCATAAACAATAACCGCCTAAGTCGACTTAAGAAAGAATTGAGTTATATATGCTATCGTATTCTGCAACTACTATTCCATGTGTATGTGAAATCCCCATCTCGCCAGCTAGGCTATAGACATACATATTTTGGTTTCCCCATAAGGTTAACATTACAATCCAAATGTTTAAAACGGTTTTTCTTGAATTCAGGTTTTTCGACTAAGGCGGTTATTGCTTATGACCACAAATATGTATGTACTATAGAATCATCTAGTACCACTAGGATGTGGAAGGTAGTCAGGGTGATATTTATCCGGAAGATCGGAACCAGTTGTCATATCTCGCCTAAGGGTTTCAGGTCCGTCAGTAGTTGAATTTACTAAGACTATCGAGTCTCTCAATTTCAAAAGTGCTTTTCATCGCTCATGAGGTGTGCACGTTGAACTATGTGAGACTGATTTCAGCCTGCTTCTAAACTTTGTTAAGCGCACGCGGTGTGCACAACAACATATTAGTGGCAACACAATCGGCAGTTTCTTAAATTTCGTTGTGCATCCCGAAGTCTGGGAAACGGACTGATCTAACCTATTCTACCCTAACCTTTCCCGTGAGGGTAAGTTGTATGCCTTCTGAGAGGGTCTATCTTAAATTTATTGCCAAATGTTACGTTAAGTGAGGTTGTGGTGGAAATACCTTCATCCTGATATCGCATGGAGACATAATAAGGCCTAAGGAGAACCGTTGTGATACATTTTAATTGTATAAAAAAAAATTTAACACGGAAGGCCTATCGCCTAAGAAGACTAAAAGCAAGTGTTTGAAGAAGGCAGCTTATTTTGTCACCTTGGTACATGTACGTATGTATGTATGCTTGTGTTCAAAATATTTTCTTACTTCTTTCTTATTCGAATTTAATCAAGTGTTGATGAATTTCTAAAAATTATATCAAAAAACCCAATCGCCCACATGTCAAATGTTTACAAACTTTAATCCAATAAAAATTGCAGAATAGGGCAATTATAAAGCACTTGAGTAAATTTAAACTACATACACACACACACACAGATGCACATTTATTTATTTATGTAACTACATATGAAGTACTGATATGTGCTTAAGTGCCACATAAGCATACTTGTACATGTATCAGTGGCTTACAAACACAAACATTTCGTTGTCATAATGAGGAAATGTTAAAAAAAAAAACATTAAAAAATATACAAATCGCCCGTTTGCTGGAAGAAGAACATAACTAAGAAAAAAAAGAAATCTGAGAAAAACGGTAATTACTGCATACTTAGCTCAATACTTTAATTTTTTCGGATTATGACATTTTTGTAGTAAATTAGCGGAATTTATGTATGTACATTAGACCCTACCAACTTACAAGCAAACAAACAAAAATTCGCCGTACAACTCTAAGTCTTAAGTATTCNAACTAAGAAAAAAAAGAAATCTGAGAAAAACGGTAATTACTGCATACTTAATACTTTACTTTAATTTTTTTCGGATTATGACATTTTTGTAGTAAATTAGCGGTATTTATGTATGTAAATTAGACCCTACCAGCTTACAAGCAAACAAACAAAAATTCGCCGTAAACCTCTAAGTCTTAAGTATTTATGTATGTAAGGCAATTTCGAAAAGAAATAATTATTTTTTTGGCTGTACTTATGGGTCGCCGTTTCACATTTATCGGTGACACCTACATTCGGCAACAAAAAAAATAAAATAAATGAAATAATAGTTATACTTAAATAATCAAATGATTTTTGGTGAGCTTTAATTTACANGGTCGCCGTTTCACATTTATCGGTGACACCTACATTCGGCAACAAAAAAATAAAATAAATTAAATAGTAGTTATACTTAAATAATCGTATGATTTTTGGTGAGCTTTAATTTACTGGCATTAGGGTGATAAGAGACTTAGAAATAGAAAACATTGTCTACTCGAGACAAAAACTATTATATGTATATCTATATATATACAAATGTATATAAAATAATGGCCGTTTTTGTTGTTCGGACTTAACTCAAAAACTACGCGATAGATTTCAGTCAAATTTTAAGAGATTATAGGTTGCATATATGGTCCTATTATACTACNGGCATTAGGGTGATAAGAGACTTAGAAATAGAAAACATTGTCTACTCGAGACAAAAACTATTATATGTATATCTATATATATACAAATGTATATAAAATAATGGCCGTTTTTGTTGTTCGGACTTAACTCAAAAACTACGGGATAGATTTCAGTCAAATTTTCAGAGATTATACGTTGCATATATGGTCCTATTATACTACTAGAGAATTCGCTAGATGGCGCTGGGGTCGAGTTATTTATAAAAGTCCTATTTATGAACCTATTTCGTTCAAATTCAAAATGTAAGCTACCTGCATAATGAAACAAGCATTTGCGAAAAACGGACCCGCTAGGTGGTGCTGGAATCGAGCTATTTAAAAACGACGTATTTATGAATTGATTTCCTTCAGATTCGCAACGTGAGCTACCTGTATGATGAAAAATTAGTTTCCTCAAAATGTACCCGCTGCAGTTTAGGTATTTAGAAAATCCGTATGTTGTGTAAAATCTGATTGAAATTTAAAATGCGTAAGAATGGTTTTGCAGAAAAGTGACCCAATCGATGGCGCTGCAGCCGAAAATTATACAAACTCACACGGGGTTTGGTCTGCTTTGGCCCCATGTTTACCTTACACGAATTTACTTTGCAGATGGCATATAAAGACCGCAACATTGTGTACGGGCACCTTTGTCTGACGCCCTCATAGACCCCAAATGCGATCTTGCATCTATATCCGATTGACGAAATTGCTCGGAGTGGCCGTTATTACAGGAGTAAGACTCAAAGAAACCAGTTCATAAATATTATGAGGAATTGTAAAAGTGGCGAATCAAGAGATCACACGACTCAGTTAGCCGATGTACGGGAAAACTTTTCATCCTGTGGGACAGCGAGGATTCTATACCTGAAAATGCTCATCTGTGCTCTTGAGTGTCCTTATAAGGACTTTTTTTGGTCTGATCTGGTCTATTGTGTACGTATGTATGTACTATGTGCTAGCTTAGAATACAAAGTTGCTAAGTCCCAATTAAAAAATGTACAGGAGAGAAAAAACTTCTTCTGGCAATTTTCTTCAAGTATTTCGCAATATTTGAATACAAAATTTTGCCTTTTTAAATCAAAGCAAAACTCCATACGAATCAGAGGGATTTCATTTTTATTAAAATATTTCCAACTATTTCGGCCTTATCGAATTTTCGGAGCTTTTTACGAAACACATAAAACAACGAACCTTTGCCCTTTTCGAAACGGTGCATTTTAAATTCATCTAGCCTCCTGTATCAAAATATGATTTTTCATAAGTGAAGTTAGCAACTTTTCACTCTAAGGTAGCGATATGTATGTACATATATGTATATGTATGTCTGAGACGTGCACATTTATGTAAACAATCTCCATATCAACGCTAATATAATTATGTCAGCAAAAATGTTTTAAAATTCAAAATGTTGATGACTGCTAAGTACAATTCGATTATCACTTTTGCTAGCATTTTTTTTTACCGCTATAAAACGTGTGCAAATTGATATTTAACACATAAATATATACATACATACATATGTACATATGTATGCAGGAAGGAATGGGATTGAGTTAAGGCACAGAGCAAATAGCTGATATGGCAAAATTCATCGAATAGAGGGGGAATACTCGTGGCTGTAGTATATAGTTAAGCTGTAGCTTAGGAACAAGCATTACATTGAGATGCAAAAAATTCTGATGAGAAAGTAATTTGCATTGGCAGCTGAACTGTTGGCAAGAAAAATCAATAAAACGACAATCAACTATACACACACACACATGCATACATTTGTTTACAAAGTTCATGCATGAAAAAGGCAAAAAAAAGTTAGTTCTGCTACTGAAAATCGCAAAGGGAACCTCATAAATGTAATGGAAAAACACTTGTTTGTAAGCATGTGCATTTGTTTGTATGGTTGCATGTGGGTATGTATGTATGTTTATAAGTAAACTTATATATGTATGTCGTATATGCCGGCCGGCCGACTCTTATCGGGCACCTATGGGTCCCAAGTCGATTAAACTGTTTCAAGCCAAATACACTGCTTGTGTATCGATTAAGCTCAAGTGCCAATGCAAATGTGTATGCACTTAGAAAATTCTCAAACGTTTTTTTTTCCACAGCACTTGTTTTGCCAGCACTGAAGTCACTGATGGCTGCCACATGCACGTTGCCCACATTGTTATTACGACGTTGTAAACATACCTATAAATGTATGCACATATTTACACGCGTATACATATATGTAATCAGATGTGTTTGTACCAAAGTGCAATTGTTTATACATATGTATGTACATACATATGTACATCTGCACAACCACTTGACTTGCTTGCGTTCTTACATTTATACCTACATACTATATAGCATGTATGTATGTATGTATATACTTAAGTGTGCAAATGATTTATGGGTCACTCACCTCACATCCGGATGTGCATCCAACATGGCGCGCATCAGCGTCGTTCCTGATCTGGGAACACCGCCAATAAATATTAGCGGCATTTCGCGGCCATATGAATAGGTTTTTTGATCTTCGGCCATAAGATATTTCTAAAATAGAAGAAAAGATATAAGAAAGTAATTAAAAAGTCTACTACAAGTGAAAGCTTATATAAAAATTTAATGAAAAAAGCTATTTTTAACTGACTTCAAAATTAGGTTATCAATTCATCGGGATATACAGTGGCCGAACAAATTATAGCCGCACCACATTTTGAATAGTTTTAACATGTCGTTTTCTTTTGTCATTTGATTTTGGTTTGTATATTTGAAAAAAAAAAAAATCAGCAAACTTTCGCAAATATCTCGAGACTTTTTAATTAAATTTCTTAGCAAGATTTTGAGTACGCAGTTTGATAGCTCATTGAATTCGAATAGAATAAAGTACAAGCTTCAAATATCTTTTTATTGTAGAAGAAGAAGACCATAACATCTTCGACAAGTTTATTTATTTTTAATAACTTTCATTTAAAATATAGTTCGGCTTATAACAGAAACCACATATCGACTGCTAAGTGGAAAATCGACCTATCTCGGCTGCCAGTTCGTAAACGCTCTATCTCAAAAAACTTTTCAAGTACGCCCTATTTCAGAATTTCATTGAAAAACACTCTATCTCAGAATTTGGTTGAAGAACGCTCTTTTTCAGAATTCGATTCAAAAATGCCCTATCTCACTTCAAAATGTGCTGATATAGAGCGATTTTGAATCGGCAGCTAAGATAGAGCGTTTTTCGAAAACGAATCCGGAAATAGGGCGTTCTTCAACCAAATTCTGAAATAGGATGTTTTTGAAAAGTTTTTTGATATAGGGCGTTTTCGAACTGGCTGCCGAGATAGGTCGACCTTCCACTCAGTAGTCGTAAAGCTTGGACAAAGTTCGTATAAATTAAAAAAAAAATAATAATATTAAAATTTCAAACTTTTTATTAAGAATTTTTAGAAAATTTTCGAACAGACTATTCAATTTCAGTACCATTGATATTTTATATATTTTTTTTTTTAAATACATTGCAAAATGTATTTTTCATAACTTTTAGCCCAGTAAAATTAGACTTTTCCTAAAAAAAAAAATTTTAGTAGCGATTTTTTGATGAAGTTTGCTTCTATTTGACAGTAGAACATCCACCTTCTTGCCCCTAAATTTCATATGGCAACATTCCGCCATCTTAAATTTTATTTTTTTTAGGGTTTTTTGCTATTCGCAAGCTTGTTTTGCATTTTCCGTGGAAAAATCGTTAAATACGAATTTGTAGAGAATTTAATTTCCCACATTTTTTACATAGAAGGTTAAGAAAAACAACATTTTTTATTGTATATAATTAGCAAAAACTGCGCAAAACTTTTAACTTGTCACGGGTTTCGCCATTTTTCAAGGATTTTTTTTGAAAACACGTAGCATATTCAAGTGTCAAGGTTGTAGAGATTTTCATTCTCCACGACTTTTGTACGAATTTGTTTTTTATTGTACGACGTACAGTGCTACCCTTCCATATGAAATGTGGACGAAAATAGAATTATGGACGGATTTAAATGAAAATTCGCTTCTTAGTAAAATTGAGGGCGTTAAATTCAAAAATGCAACTTGTTTTTAGATAACTTTCACATTTTCAGTGTAAATGCAGTTTGAAGTTGAAAATTTCTTTTCTGGCATTTTGTGAGGTGTCAAATGACAGAGCTTGGCCTGCAGATGGGCAATAACGTTTTATTTTTTTGGAAAGGGTTGTCACCCGTTACGAATTTTATTTTTATTTAAATGAATTAGAATTAAAATATGGGTATCAATTGAAATGGTTTTGAAAATGCTTTACTTTTAAACGACACGTAGAATGGTTGCCACATGTTTAAAAAATCAAATTCACTTTAATTAAGGGAATAAGCTCACCGATATATGTATGTCAATATGGATATTAGACAAAAGACAAAATAGGACATATTTAGCAAGAAATAAGTGAAGAGTAAAAACATTCCTGAGTTAAATTAGGACTCCAGTAATTTAAAGGACTGTGATCATAACAAATCACTGATTGACAAGGTATGTATTTGTAATAAAATAATAAATACGATGTCTTAAATCTTTGGTTTGGCACAATAATTATTTTAGTTTAACTAAAATTTGACTTTACAAATAGGTGGCAACCCTCTTCGTAGTATTTGCAAGCTAAAAGCATCTAAAACCTCTTGCGTCTGACTCCCATATGGTGATAACTATCTATTTCAATTACGTAATTCCTTTAATTCAAATGGAATTTGATTTTTTTAAACAGGTGGCAACCCTATGCATGTAGGTAAGAAATAAACCGTTTTCATACACATTTCGATTGATACTCATCTCTTAATAATTCATTTAACTTACTAAAAAAATTGATTTTAATAATAGGTGGCAACTCTTAAAAAAATCCCTATTGTCTACAGGTCAAGCTTTTTAATCTGGTACTTCATTTTACAACGCTTTTTTGAAAATAGAACGCATCGTGCAGAGCTGATGGAACTGACAAAAAATACAAAAATTATTTTATGCATTAGCAAATCGGCATTACTTCAAAAAGTGCAAAAAATTCGCAGGTTTTTACTTCTACTTTCGAAAGCTAAAAGCCCGTACTATTTAATAAAATAATAAAAAAATAACATATTTTTACGTATATTTTTTATTCATTCCATTAAAATTTACTATTTTTGAAATTTTGATAATTTTTTCTTTCTGGGATACCGCAGGGACACCCTGTGTTTAATTTTGTTCCAAAATTTTTAATCCTGTGATTAAAATTGTTTTTTTTTTCATACATGGAAAACTTTGAGCGCTTTGAGCGACAGACGTATATTTGTCGATTTGGAACAATCCTAGTGGGTGAGAGCATTAAAATTCCGACTTTACTTTCCTAACATGCATTTTTGGACCACCCTAATGTACACATATATATGTATATGAATTAATACCTTTTTACACAGGTAAGAAATATAATTACATATATGTATGGAAAATTGCTTCGAGCAGCTCAGATACCCCCGTCTCTTACCTCTTCGTGCACCATCAGCGATCCATCCGGCGCCGTCACATCGTTCTTGAAGAAACAAGTTGGCGCGAATTCGGTGAATTTGAAGAGGAACATAGTGACAACGACGACGGCGACCATCACCCACAGCGTCGCTTTTTTATTGCGATATTGTAGACGCATTTTGAGGAAAATTGTCGTTGCTGTTACGTACTGCACACTAAACACGCACACAAGAGCAAGTACACAATTACTGAGACTACAAACACACGTGCATAGGTAGGCGACAGCACGGACTTCCTTGTACGCTAACGCAAACGACTTAAATACTACTATAACTGTAACTGGCGTTGCAGCAACGTGCACTTGTAACCGACGACACGGATATGTTACAAATCTAGTTACGTATGCAAGTATGTAGTTATGTATTTTTGAGTACAGTTATGTCTTTAGGTGCGCATTTACAAAGTTATGAATTTGAAGTGCAGCGAAAAAGCGCTGAAAACACTGCAAAGCTTCAAAGGACTTGGTAGCTGCCAGGTTTTTTGTTTTTGTTTTTGCTTTAGCTTTTTTTTTTGTAGAGTATGTATTTTTTATGATTGTGCGTTTAACTCTAGGTTTTTGTACGTGGTTCGTTGCCACCCAGCTATTGGCTTTTTGCTGGATATATTTTTATATATTTTTTGCTACAAGTTGACTTTTCTCACACTCTTGCACCTCGGTGACATTGGCGTAAAAACGATATCCACAAACTTGCCAACGAATGATGACAAATATTAATATTTCATTTAAAGCTGCACGAGATTTGATTTTTGCGCTCGCTTATAGCTGCTGCACTATTGGATACTTCAGTTACAGTCTCGGCTCCAGCTGCGCGCGCGCGCAATGTAGTATTATATGGACGCAGCACAGATAACTCGGGTAATGATGATGACGACAACGTCGCTGATGAGGCGGAGGCGGAGGCGCAGGCTAAGGCTAAGGCTGAGGGTGGCCAAAACGTCACTGAGGAAGGCAACGATGTTGACGGCGTGTACGTGGCTGTGGCTGTGGATGTGGTGGAGGAGGAGGTTGGGGTTGTGGTTGGGGTTGACTTGAGTGCGACTCTTGATTTTACTTCGTCTTAGTTTTGTTGCTGTTGTTGTTGCTGCTGTTGTCCTTGTAGTAGTTGTTTGTGTCCTTTTAGCGCCCACTATGCATGCTTTACACTGTTGCAGTTGACTGCTGCTGCTGTTCTTCAACAACATTTTAAGTTTAAAAACGCGCACTCATATTTCTTCATTTGTATGCCAAAAGCATATGAAAAGTAAGTAAATGTAAGAAAGCAAAGAAAATCAAGAAACAAAACACACACACACACACACACCCAGTTTGCGGTGGATAGCTGGGTGGTTACAATGCGGCCACAACGAAGATGCCGCTGCGAGCGAGTGTGTGTGTGAAAATGTAAAGAAGGTGGCAAAGGATATTACGGCGTTGCTGTTGCTTGTCTGTTGGCAAGTCACACTCACTCCCGCTCGTACTTATGCCCAAGAGTACCAACTGCAAACTGCCAAGACTTACTTGTGTGCTTGCTTCGTTGGCTATGTAGTTAGGTGCAAGTGTGCGTTCTTTCACCACTTAGCTGGGCCAGTAAAGCGACAAGTGACTTCCTTGCGTGCTTACTGTGTGCTGAATAATTTTCCAGCCACATACGCCCCCACAACCGGTTCGCACTCTTGCACTTTTTTCACTCGGAGTTTATAGCTTTTCTTCTACGATTTCTCTTTTTTTAAGCTTTGCTGCTGCCAAGTGTTTTTTTTTATTTCTGTTTATCCACTGTTGAATGAGATGAAAGAACCGTCTTTGCTCTCTTCCTTTTCTTTTACTCGTAGCTTTTTATTTATTTCTTTTTTTTTTTTAACGCGTTAAATGCCGTAAATGATTTATATTTATTATTTTTATTGTTGATGGTAAGCTATTGCACCAGCTTTATCTGTGTATGCCTTTGCTCGAATTATCCTTAGGAGGTTTTTAGAGTGTCATTTATCTGAAACAATAAAAAGGTTAGAGAGAAGTTGTTAAGTTATTGTTGATTAAAAGTTCTTAGAATTTATGGTACAAATAAAAAGCTGTGCGGCAAATGGGTGCTACAAAAACAACAACAAATACATAAGCAAGGTACTCAAAAACTGTCAAGGATTGAGACGAGGGCATCAGGTCTGTATGAAAGTAAGTGCTCCAGCACTTAAACTTCAATTAAAGCGGAGTATTTTAGTTTCTTACAAAAGCGAATTTCTAAACGTTTCAATGCAACTAAATGGTGTCTTTAGTTTTTCAGTTTATTAATACTGGCTTTGCCACAGACATTTCGTACTTTTTAAAGGTAAGTACATACATATTAGGGTGATTGACTCGGTTTTCCAAACCGGTTTCCACCGGTTTTTTTTTGCATATCTACATTTAGGCGGTTGTTTTTTAACAAACCGGTTTTTTCATTTATTTTTGAGTTTTTTCCAAGTTTTCAAGCCCTTTTCCAGTTTAACAGAAACACCTAAATACTTTTAAAACTATGTCCTAGAATATTTGGGGATGAACTGTATATCATATTTGATTCCAATAAATGAATGTTTTGGCCCTTAATCTACCTGTTTGGCCGAGCTTCTACTCCAATTCGGCTTTTGCTTCTTGATGGTGTGACACAAATAGAGAGATCTAACATTTTTCTCCGCCTTCCGAGTGGCGACTTCAATTCTCATATACAAATCTAAGTGTACCGTTATTTTACCAAATTAGTATGGGACCCCCTCTGGGCTACCACCTTTCCTTTAAAAGAAATAAATTATAGAAATCGGTTAACGTGGCTTAAAGATATACGGTAACATACATAAAAAAAAATATTCCAACGAGTTTATAACCTCCTCCTTTTTTTGAAATCGATTAAAAAATCCCGAAAGGACCCGAAAATTACAACAGGAAAGAAGAATCTGAAGAATCTCGAAAAAATCCAAGAAATTAAACGTGTCTCGAAAACACGAAAAAATTCGGACTCCTTAAGATTGGCGAAAAGTCCCATCAATTTGCTGAAAAGTGAAATTTGAAGGTTCTTCAAAATAAAAGAAAAAAATCTATAGCGTATCACCGAAAAAATCCACGTCATACTTGTGGGTATGCATTTGCAGTTGCACCCCAAGTGCGACATGCTTCTGGTGTAAAAAATTAAAAAAAAATTATCACTTAAGACCTTTAGTAATTATCATCGTGTAATAAACAAAGTGAAATCAAAATATGACATATTTATTTTAGATACGTTTATTTGAAACACATTTCATTAACCCATTTGCCAATAGCAACATTATAAATATATTTCAAATTAATTTTATTTTTATTTTTTGCTTAATGCACAATACAGATTGCAATAAAATATGTGAATTTAAAAAAAAAAAATGTATTAACTAGCGCAAAATAGAAACACAAAGTCTTTTCCTGCCAACGCCAGCAGAATCCAGTACTTTAAGGGCTATGGAATTGTTATTTTTCAGGACGACTTGGCCTAGCAAGCGAAGAAGTCGTGTCTTAATTCGCTTCACCATAATGCATTCGTATAAATACATACACCCAGTGGCGGATTTATCGTACAGGCAACATAGGCTGAAGCCTAGGGCGGCAGAATTAAGGGGCGGCAAAATTTAAGACAGCTAAATTAAAAGAAAATAATTTATTTGGATTCAGCTGCACTTGAAATTGTGTTTGTGTCTGTAAAATATTATTAATGATTCATCTCATTCAATACAATTCAAAATTAGAATTACGCTGCGAATTTTTCCTTAGTATAGCAGTCGTTGAAATTTCCATTTAACTTTCATTCACGCGGCTTAGAAACCTGACGGCGCGCCTGCGCGTGACGCAAAGAAACAGCCGACACGCTGCCCCGAGAACGAGAATCATCTAAAAGGTTACCACACTTGACAACACTGCCGAAAAACGAGCGTGCATTTTCGAGAAAATTCTTGATTCCAAGCCCACCAGTTTTTCATAAGTGTATCATAA